TTTGGTGGAGGTTTTGTTATCCCCTGTGCCGCCAATTAGGCCTAGTGATCTGTTTCCTTTTTTTTGAGAAATATAATATATATATATATATACACACACATACGTGTATATACGCAATTACGAGTGCGTAAACACACATACAACACACACAATTGCACACGTAATCGCGCATATACACGTATATGCCATGTATTTAGAGTTTATCGAATTTTGCTTGAGAAAACTAACGTCTTGATGCGACGACCGATCCGTCCCTTCCTCCTCTCCCCCCGTTTATCACGAAGCATATTTTAGAGAATTAATAATAAAGGGATTAAAAACCTCGACGAGTAACGACGAGTATCTCGTTCATTAAAACTCGTTAAAACTCGTGGCGAGCGGCTATAGATGGGCTATAGGATATTATGTATAGGGATTTATAAATTAATGTTACATATCGAGTTTTTAGAAATGTGTTTTTAACAATTGTTAGATTCATCGTTGTCATTTAGCTCCTCTTCCATTACGTACGACTCGACGATAACCCCCCTCCCCCATCCTCTTCATCGTTCTTCATCGCACCATGTTAAATGTCGCATCCTCGTGAAATTTTATTATTCATCGTCGAGTGTCGAGTCTCCATGTTGGAAGAGATAGATAGAAGTAAGCGGGAGAGGAAAAAAAAAAAAAAAGATAAAAATGGATAAATAAACGACGTTAACAGACGCTTTTTTGTACTTGCGATCGATCGTTCTTCCCTTGCTTAGCATGATGTAAAGGCGACGTACACACCATTGTTTATATTATTACGTGGAGACGAAGTGGAAGTAAGGCGTTAGTCGCCGTCCACGTAGCCGCTCGTCCAAGCTCTTCGTGATTTTTCGCGTGACTCGCGCGATGGTTTCGGGCCAAAATCCGAGAATTTTCATTCGAAACGACGAATTTTATTGTAAAATAAAACTTAAAAAGAACAAAAAAAAAAAATTGGATTTCTTTTCAAAACAATTAACAATTGGTTTTCGCAATAATCAATAAATATTCTAAAAATTTGAAGATTTCCAATCGAATATCTAGCCATATAAATTTTTGATAGACAGAAATATATGTTATAGTACCGATTTCTAAAAATATATCATCACGTTCATAATACAAGCCGTGAACAAGTATAGAATCTTTGTACAAATATTGCTTCTATAACACCAACTTCTTTCTACAAACGTTCCATTGAATGAACCATCGAGCACGATGCGCGAGTCAGAGTGAAAGATCAAGATTCACAGACGAATCGGTTGTTGCACGGATTCGTTGTGTTTATTATATAGTATATATACATATATATATATATACACACACATACATTGTACGATATAACTGACATTATCGGCATTAAAGCGAGACGAGTGATTTCTCATACACGTACATGGATACATACATACACACACATACATACAAGAAGACTAAAACTCTAATAGTTTTTAACGTGAAAGATACGAATTATCGCTGCTGTTATTGGTTTCGAAAAATTGGTTTATCAAAGTAGATAAACTTATGTACCTATATCGTTTAACCGTAGCCGTCACATTGTTCGCGAAACGTTCATAACGCCTATGTAGTGGTATTTATTGCTCGTCGCATAGAGTTGCTCATCCCATCGTTTACCGCCAAAAAGAAAGAAGAAAAAAAAATAAGAAAAATGTAACGGAGAAAAATCCAAGTGGTGCGTTAATCGAGTAGCTCCTACTATTCGATCTTCGAATTATATTCTCTCGTTCGCGAATGATCGAAAAATAATGGTCGAGCGGAATTTTTAAACAAATTTCTCACCTATCGTTTTCGTTAATATCTATCCATGGATGAATCTAGAAAGAATGTATATTGAATATAATTATTAATTATATTGCCATTTGATGATATCGTAAGAATAAAAAAAAAAAAAAAGGAAAAAGAAAAATCGCGCGCAAATTTTTTCTTATCAAACCGTTTCCCATTTCTTCAAATCGAAGCTCTACATTAAGAACCTAAGGAATCTCGAGAAAATCGAACGGAATTACTTTTTAAAATTCTCATCTCATTTATTTGTTTGTCATTCTTCTTTCGTAAATTGATCGTACGTCGTCGCAAGATTCATAAGGAAAAATTGAAAGAAAATTGAAAGAAACGCGTTGTTTTGTCGTTCAACTTGTCAACTCGTGAGAAATATGTAAATAAACGATTTTTTTAGAGAAAACGAGGGAGTTAGTTCCGGACGGAAGCGGCGTCTTGTCGCTTGTTAAGCGAGGCGTCTTTGCACGACGGTGAAATTACGGTGTTCAGACAGATATGAAGAATCTCATGAATCATCGTGTACGTCTCGCGCGTACACAAACGCATCTTCCTCTTCTATATGCGTTGTTATTCGATCGCGGTTGTTATAAAAGACTTTCACTCGATGATATCGAGCCTGCTGGACGAGATGGCTGGAAATTATTAACATTTCCACTAAAAAGAAAAAAAAAAAACCATTTTTATAGCGGACAATTATTCTTTTTTTACATATATATATATATAATGAAAAGTAGAGCTAGACGATCGTAAAACAATTTCTTTCTGATGAGAGAAATTGCTCGATGGAAAAATTCAGCGAGGCGAGGGATAAAATAAGAAAAGAAACGCGTTGAAAAATTCAAGAAGAGATGCATTCAATATCGTCGAATCGAAGAAGAAGTGTATAAATTACAAGTTTTTATACGGATTGCGAAATTATTTCTTTTATTCCCGCGAACGATCGAAAGTTATTTTGCTTTCACTCAGCGTTTGTTCTGCATTTTCAGAAATAAAAAGGGGAGATATATTTCTCAAAGTGAAGTGGCAAGTTAACGATTCAAACATAAATAAAAAACTTATCTTCGATCGATTCGATTCTACGCTTCATCTTGTGTCGTATATATACATATCATCATATATTGGGGGGATAAAGAAAAAGTTATCTCGTAATATGCGAATAAATATATTGTTGCGTAGATGCATCCGTACGATAAGCATCCGTTATTATTCGTAGTGGCATAAATGTTAATTATGAGAGAGAAACGGCCACACAACGGTTACTATACATATCAAATATCGTGCATTGTAACGATGTAACGGGAAACCTATATCATGATGCGTACTCTACATATACATACTTAGGTATAATACATTAGCAAGATAAGGGACTACGTAAGACAGAAAAAAAAAAAAGATGATAAAAAAAAATATATATATATATATAAGATATGTATATACGTATTATATATATATAGCGTGGTTATATCCTCTCGCAGAAAAAGGGATCGATGGGGTTCGAAGCTTCACGGAATTAGGAGGATCCTCTCTAGTTTTCAGTTTTTCTTTCTTTTTTTTTCTTTTTTTCATCGAACGAGTATCCTCCTAATTACTCTTTAGTAATTTAATAACCGAGCGATTCGTGGCCAGGAAGATCGAGAAAGATCGAGACGCTCTAGAGATCTCGTGTATCGTGATAAAGAAAAAAATTGCGAGCAATGAACNAGAGTATTATATGTGTAAAAGAAAAAAGAAAAAAAAAAGTAAAAGAAAAAAAAAACGCCCGACTTCATCCCTCATAAGAACATATCCATGTATATGTATTACGAAAGCGTTACCGGTATATTGTATTATACGACATATTATACGTGTATAATTGAGAAACTGAACGCGATGTTGATTGTAAATGTTAAAAATAAACAGTGTATAAAAACACAACAAATTTCTCGACTTTTTTTTATTCTTAAAAAATCAAATTACCTCGAAGTAAATAAATAATTTGCACGTAAAAGAATTGGCATCGTTCTGATAAAAATTTTAAATCGTAGAGATATAAATATAAGCCAAAGTTGGATTTGAATATCTTTGATGTTCAAAAAAAAAAAAAAAAAGGATATCTTAATTGTTAAACTTGACTTCTTTCTTTATCAAAAATTAAATTAAATATCGATGTATCGAGGATTATCGTTTAATGAATTCCAAGAAAGGAATGGCAAAATAGGTCAGGACACACGTTGTAATTCCATCGAATCGACGTAAGGGGACGTAAGTTGTGATATTGATAGGTGTTTTTAGCCGGGTTACGACAGAAATAGGAAGAGCTCTCACTTATTCATGCCTTCCCGGTATTCGAGTTAGGGGAATCGATAAATCGACCACACCGAACATACGCCTCCCTCTTCCCCCTCCCCAGCCAACTCGACGAGAAGTTGGAATCGTCTTATAGACAATTCCTACCTTGTGTTCGTCCCCTGTGTAGCTGTAAAAAAAAAAAAAAAAAAAAAAGAAAAAGAAAAAAAGAAAGGGTACGAACATCCATCCAACGATTGTTATTTTTTTTTCAGCGTAGCGGCTTTATTTATTAGTACAAAAAGCATTTATTTTTACAAAATAAATAAGTTACAATAGGCTCTGAAGAACGAAGGAACGAACTTTACTCCTCCTTTCGAAGGTAATCGCGCCTTTCCAATTCGTTCCTTTCGTTTCGATGGAAAATTTATTATTATTATTATTATTATTATTATTATTATAATTATTATTATTATCATCATTATTATTATTAGCAGACGATTTTCCTTAAAAAAGCAATTAGGAAAGAAAGGCAATTATGATTCCTCCCTCTTTCGTTTTTCACTTTCAGGAATATCAGGCCGCATCATCGATACACAGTTGAGAGGTTGTTTTACGGAATGGGAGGGGGGAGGGTGGGGGGCGGTCTTCATCGCTGTTTAAACTGTTCAAACTTTTAACATTAGCGGATTTCCTGGATGCTTGTTGGGCGGGGTAGGGGGGAGGTTCGGATGATTTTTGATCCGCGCGAAATCCACCTTCGATCCGTTCCCTATTCGTTTCATCGACGGTTGCCCCGTCAATCCGGAAGCAGAGCTCGACGAACTGGATGGTGGGTGGGGGGGTGGAGGAATTTTTCTCGTCTCGATGGGCGGTGAAACACGGTCGAAGGTGGTCGGGCGGGGTGAAGACTCTTCGCGATTAATATTGGTAACCACCGTTGCTAGCGTAGCTTTGACCACCTCCGCCTCCGGAGTAGCCACCACCGCCTCCGGAGTAGCCACCATTTCCTCCGGAGTAGCCGCCCCCGCCACCTCCAGAGTAGCCACCTCCGCCACCTCCAGAGTAACCACCTCCGCCTCCTCCAGAGTAGCCACCTCCGCCTCCTCCAGAGTAGCCACCTCCGCCTGAGTAGCCGCCATTGCCCCCGGAATATCCACCTCCGTTACCGCCTCCGGAATAGCCACCGTTTCCTCCAGAGTAGCCACCACCGCCGCCTCCAGAGTAGCCATTTCCACCTCCAGAGTATCCACCTCCGCCTCCAGAATATCCACCGGAGCTGAAAGCGAAAATTAATGATTACAACGAATTTTGAAACGATATCATATCGCGTATTTATCGTATTACGTATCCTCGACAGGTAGAGTTATAATGGAAGAGATGGGAGATATGAAGAAGAGAATCGTAATTTCAACGAGTAAATTGATTATTATCGTATATACTCATATTTCTTAAATGGGTAAGAAAGTATAATGGAAGAGATATAGAAATGCTCGAATAAAATTATAGATGTGGATTGTAGATATAGATAGGTGCTGGATTGGTCTTTTTCCCGACTCTTTCTCCTTTCCTTAATCCTAGAGAGACCGAGTAGAGAGATTGTATGCGATAAGTAGAGAAAGAAGAAATAGAATACCAATTATGACCAATTAACTTATCCACATATCTATTCCTTCTTTCATCTAATTTTTCTTTAACCAATACCTGTGCTGTGCTCTGAATTTCTTAAATCTACGGAAAAGGAGGAAGGAAAGAAAAAAAAAAAAGTCATAGATCCTTTACCCTCCGAAACTGCCACCACCGGTGCTAGGTGTACCGTAAGCGGAAGATGGTCTCGAGTATCCACCGCCACCGCCTCCTCCGTTGGGTGCACCGTAGGTGGTGGACGGGCCACCACCGCCTCCCCCGGTAGATGAGCCGTAGCTCGAGAATATCTAGCCGCCGCCACCGCCGCCTCCGTGGGGTGCACCGTAGGTGGTGGACGGGCCACCACCGCCTCCCCCGGTGGGTGCACCGTAGCTCGAGGATATCGAGCCGCCACCACCGCGCGAGGGTGCGCCATAGCTGGTGGAAAGCCCGTTACCGCCGCCAAAGCCACCGCCACCGCCGCCTCCGAAGGAAGGGGCGCCATAGTTGCTGGACGGCCTTCCACCGCCGTTCGCCGGTGCGCCGTAAGTGCTCGCCGGTGCACCGTAGCTCGAGCATATCGAGCCGCCACCACCGCGCGAGGGTGCGCCATAGCTGGGGGAAAGCCCGTTACCGCCGCCAAAGCCACCGCCACCGCCGCCTCCGAAGGAAGGGGCGCCATAGTTGCTGGACGGCCTTCCACCGCCGTTCGACGGTGCGCCGTAAGTGCTCGACGGTGCACCGTAGCTGCTCGACGGTGCACCGTAACTGCTCGACGGCCTGCCGCCCCCGTTGGACGGTGCCCCGTAGGTGCTCGACGGCCTTCCACCGCCGTTCGACGGCGCGCCGTAAGTGCTCGACGGCGCTCCATACGTGCTGGACGGTGCTCCGTAGCTAGAGGATGGACGACCACCGCCGCCCCCCGACGGAGCACCGTAGGTGGAGGATGGACCTCCACCGCCTAAGTTCGGTGTCCCATAACTCGTTGACGGTGGTAGGTAACTACCGGATATTGGCGCTGTAAATACGTACGTTTTTTTATGTTAACGTAAGATTTCAGGTGTTATAAGGATAATTTTTAATTGGATTTTAATTGGATTCACGAGAACGATGTTATAATGAAATTTTGAGCTTTTATATTGGATCGAATTTTAATCTGGTTAGAAAGTTAAATGAGAGGTAAATAATTTCGATTCGAATAAACGAAATTTAGGAAGGAAGTGGGAAAAGGGATCCATATTTTCCCTCGAGTTTTCTTTTTACGTGTATTTGTAGTAAAATTAGCTCGCGGACGAGTTTGTCTACTGGCTGTGCGCAATGTTAACAAGATCATGACTCTCCTTTTTGTCCTTGTATTCATTATTAGTCGGTGAAAGTGTGGGAGATGGCCAAATGACATTGTCTTCAGGACATTATTCGTCCCGTGAGACCGTAGTTTACGACTTCACACAGTGTTTTCTAAAACTCATCTACGTACAACGTTCTCGACGAAATTTGCTGAGATGTCACTATCTTTTGAAATTGCCGGGGTCAAGAGCCCGATTCGTTCGCATTGTCTTTAATCAAGTTCGTGACTGATCTCCCCATTCTCTTATTTCTTTGTTCTATTGCCGGAAAGAATATTTGTAATTGAATATTCAAGGTTCTCTTAATGACTTATTTCGCTATTTAAGAACCACAAATTCTCTTTCAAGATGGATATAATGAAACGATGAAAAGATGAAAAGGACAATTTCCAATACGCTTTCTTTAGAGTAATTGCAAAATGTTTAATTCTACTTTTAAACACAAAGTTGTCGTTTTTTCTCCTTCGTCCCTAATTTATTTTCAAATTTATTTTCTCTGTTAAATATATTCTTTGCTGCGATCAAAATTAGAAAAAAATGCCTTGCCTCATTTCTCTCTCTATACTTTGATTGTGTATTTCGTAATTTTTCATTTTTATTGCGTAACCATACAATATATCGTATCGTAATTCCTTACGTAAAACGTAAATTTTAATAGGTAATTAAGCAAAACGCGGAAATACTTAAGCGGCGTGGTTCATTAAAGATAATTCTTAATTTTCCTAAAATAAAGTATAGATTACAACACAATCGTAATTAGATCGTAACGATTTCCATCACGGAAACGAGCCTACCTTCGCGTAATATTTTTTAATTACACGCTTATTAAAATATGAAAATGAACGTTTTTTTGAACAATTTCGATTTTTGCCTATTATAAATATATAATAAGGATAATATAAATTTTTTTCTATTACAAAATCATTCTTCTTTTATATATATATATAAAAAAAAAAGGAATAAAAATACGTAAAAATTAAGAATTATACCGAATCGGTTTAAATTCAGCAGCTATAAGTAGAAAATGTGTGTCAGATCACGAGATATCGGTTCGATTTGCACACTGTCCGTTATTCCGGGCGAAGGAACGTATCGATAATTCACGGCGTCTCATCGTTTGAATATTTCATTCTCGATACCTCGAAGTGATCGCTATTTCTATTCTTTCTTTTTCTCTCTCTCTCGCTTTTTCCTCCTTTTTTCAATCCTTCGTTCGCCAACATCGAGGATCCACTAAGAGAAATTTACCATGGCGTGAAATTCATCTTTCACTTCGGTTCAATCGGATACAGAGTGATAGTGCTACCTTGGAGCATCATAGTATCACGTGCGAATACTTTCAATTTTTTTTGACACTTTCTATCTTTCGTTTTTTCTTTTTTTTTCGTGACTCTCCACTTTCTACGTATTTCTTTCTGATTACAAGAAATTCTTTCAAGTATCGAACTCGTATATCTCGTACTTTCCCCTATGTAATTTTTCATCATTTCTCCTTTTATCGAGAGCAAGAGAAACAGGACGAGATTACTTCACAATATCAGAGCAAAGCTGTGCAACGAAGTTTTCATCGAAATCCTCAATCGAACTTTTATTATTTGAAAACGTAACACAAACAAGTGAACCGATATATAATTCGAACAATTATTAGATTGCGGATATTTGTATATATTTGTGTCATGCAGAAGTGCAGACGACAATTTTATTCATGAAAAACTTCATTCTGCCTAACTGTTATTAATCATATCAGTGTCAAGAGAGTCCAAAATCTTGATAAAAAAATTAATCGTCCCTTTTTCACGTCCCTCCCAAACTAACACTCTCCCAAATTCTCAAATTCTTACCCTCGGCGTGGATAGGTTGCAAGAGCAGGGCCGTAGCGAGTACGGTCGCTGCGAGGGGGGCCCAGCTCTTCCCGGGCCTCATGATCCCCGACGATGATGCAAAGTCTCTCTCCCTTTTTCCTCAACTTCGTGGCCGATTCACATGCACGAACCCTCTCGAGGGTAACACCTGGCGTGTTCTTTTTTTTATCACGTGTTTATTATATCTGAGTACGAAACGGAAATCAACTCTTTGACAGAATTGGTAGCGCGGATGAGATGCGGAGGCCTTCCCGGCGCATCCGTGAGATTTCGTCTAACGTGCTTCAAACATCGCCGATCTCGCTTATATAGTTAACCAGTCTTTCGGAGAAAGTCCTCGCGGGAGTGTAAGTGGATGCTCACCAGGTAGGCAAAGCGTGGTTCTTGGTGAACGTTGGTGCTCGAGCGTGGGGTGAAAGAC